TTGCGTCACCCAGAAGAAGTAAATTAAGTGATTTTTTTAATTCTTCTTTTGATTTTTCTTTCAACTTTAAAGAAAAAAAAAAGTATGGATGGACAAATATTATCCAGGAAAAGGGATATTTTGAAAAAATGAATGAAGTTCATTTTTCAAAAACATCAAAAAAGGGGAAATGGAGTTTTTTGAAACATCAGAAAAAGTTATCTATTCATTCATTTATACGAATAAAAAAATTATTAAAAAATATTATGATTATTAAAAACTCAACAGGGATCCACTCTTTCTTTGACGAATTTGAGGGGGTCCTGTTGAGTTCTTACGCTTTTCATTTCGAAGACTCAAATAATACGATTCCTACAGGGATGAGCCCAATCCGGAATATGAACCATAAAAGAAAATACCAATTAAACCAATCACAGGAATACCAGTTTACAGTACTATTATCCAAAGAGGAATCCTTCCAGTAGTATCGGCCATTTATCCCACTTTCCTCCACATTTGATCAAGTAGTCAGTCATGCTAGAGACATAAACAGTCATAGATAATTATGAAATTTCCTTCCGAACGAGATAAGAGAATTCCGAATATATATATATAATTTACTATTCCCTTTTCTTATATTAATTGAAGAAATAATTTGAAAATAAAACAGCAAGTACAAAAGTATTTACTGACGCCTACCAAAAGAAGTGTGATATAATCATAAAGGTTAACCATCAGATAGATTGTGTACAGCGGGAAGAGGTATGAGGTTGGACAGGGTTTTCTTCGCTTGGAGGCATCACTAGTGTTCATGTGAGGAAACCGAATGATGGGCTAAGAATAGTGGTTCAGCGCCTTTAGCCATTGGATACTGCTATTGTAGGTAACCTTTTTTAGTATTATTACCGACGTGGTACGAATCACCTCTCTATCCGAACCTTAATAACCAAATTCATCAATAATATACTGGCCTAAGCGCAATGTTTCAAATAGACAATGGATAGCCATTATTAATCAAGCATATTTTGGGATTATAGGATATATCTGTAAATTGCACCTAATTCTCTGTATTTCTTCGGGTAATCACGAGATAAAAATATATGGATAATGTATTCCTAAGG